ATTCATCGCGTTTCCATAGCTGCTTTCATTATCCCCCAATTTCTGTTGTTTCGCCCTTCAGGAGAGACAAAAGTCTCCTCTTCCCCCTGCTGCAACTGCCGTGCTCCTGTTCCCTAAATATCTCTATTTCTGGTTACACTGACTCCAAACATGACTTCTCCACCTTTTTTCCCCTTGGACTTGAGCAGGAAAGAAGAGAAAGAGTCATCTCCACATGGACTCTGGAAATTCCCCCCTCTCATAGAGTAAGAGTGGTATTTATTGTGGTATTTATTGTGTGGCTTTCCCTTCAGAGCTGCGAAAAGGAAACACACCTGGGAACCAGCCCATTTCCAACCACCTGCACCAGGAACTGACCAGCCCTATAGTCCAAGGGATACATCTACATCTTTCCACGATAAATCCAGGTCCCCACACCCTTTCCCTCCACCTCTGCTGAGAGAAGCCCGTTCAGGGGCAGTGTCCAGAGGAGGCCTCGCTCTCCCGAGAGGGGCAAGCAGGGGTGGTGGTGCGGCAGATGACCACCCCTGTCCTGGAGCAGAGGTGAGCGGCTCTGCCCCCAGGGGTGCTCACCCGGCTCTCGCCCAGGCGAGCAGGGACGCGTTGCGAACCTGCGCCATCTGGTGTCCACACGCCTCCCTGCACCAGCAGCACTGCCGCCACGCACAAGGGCCCGCATCCTAAACAGCAAACGCAAGATTTCGGTGAGGTCTTTCCCCAAACGCCTTCAGCTATGTTTGCGGGAGTCTGAAGGCGCTGTAGATGCATCATACCCCTGAAAATCCGGCATCCGAATCAGCAAATAGGTTTGAAATGCTGGCCACGGGGCATTAAGCCCTCAGCAGAGCAAGTACACGATGTAAAGGAAAACGGTGGTTACTCTCCTCCTCACGCTAGCTGGGAGGAGAAATATTTAAATATATTCTAGAATTACAAAGCTCAGACCGTAGGAAAATAAACTGAAATGGAAGTTGGGTTTGGTCTTTCCATTAATTCCAGAGACAGGTACAAAACTGTGTGCTACGTGAGGTCCTGTCAGCACCCACCAGCACCAACAAGAGTTTGCGAAGTGAAGAGTTGGTGTACCTGTGCAGAGCTACTCCATGTTACAGCAGCTTAAGCACCAGCCTTGCTTCTCGTTCTGCCACCATCAGGTTCACCTCTGCTCTCCCCTGACCATCATGCACATCCGCAGGGCAGCGCCTCAGCCAGATCCCACGTGCCAAGCAGAGGGGTCTAGCATCAGCTGTTGCATTCCCACCATGTGGTTGGGAACATCAAGAAATGTGATAGAAAACAAGGATGCTCTGAAGGAGATGGCAACATTCCTCCTAGCCCGGTTTTCTGCTGAAGAGAGCAAGCAGAATCTGAGGGTTCTTTTCCATCTCATGCACCAACTTAGAAGAAAGCTTCCCAGCTCTCTGCATTCACGTGGCAAGGAGTAGGTGATTAAGGCAATTGAGCATACTGCAAGCGAAAACTTCCACTTATGACTACGTTCTGGACCAGCAGCGAGAGGTCAGAGTTCTCCTACAACAACTGGTTGCTCCTCTGTGTAACTAACATCTAGTGCTTTTGACAGCTAGTGAAGATTCAATTTGGCTTAATGGCTAAATCACATGGAGGCCAATCCAGCTCCTGAGAAACTCAATGGAGTGAGTCCTTAAAACAGAGAAGCTTTAGTTCTGCTCCTTGGAGCTCAATTTACTGAGGCAATCCCTCACGGCGCAATGTAACAGCTACAGGCTGGGAGTTAAGCACTTGTCTTGGATCAAACTACAACTGCAGAGGACCAACCACACCGTTACTTAAGGATTCCTGCTGTCCCGTAACCAGACAGAGCTACAACTGAAATTCCCGAGCCCCAGACACTTACTATATCCTCACTGCACTGCCAGCCTGCTTGTTATAAGCTTGTGTTAGCACTTTTTGGTTATGGTTCTGTCAAATCCCAGGCCACTCGTGCCTCCCTTGCCCTTGCATGTGTTTTTATAAAGTATTACGATTCTTTCTAATCCTGAGCTTTGTTCCTTTAGAAAAACACTGCAACTCGATCCCTCTCAGTTAATGTCATGGGACTGAGTTCACTCTGACTTGGCTTTAAGCAACTGATGCTCAAAACATCTGGCACATGTGGGTAGTAGCTGTGCTGAGGAATGCAAACGCTACCAGTTATCACAGGTGAGCATGGCGCCACTCAGCCCCCTGCAGCTCCCACCATCAATGTCCCGTGGAGGTAACCATAGCTTCAGCTGCTAAATGGCTCTCCCACTCTCCCCCTTTGCTGCCCGAATGGGGAGAAAGCAGGGGGAAATCGGAGAATTCCTCTCTGACCAGGCTCAGGTCAAGGTAAAGAATAACAGACCTCACATGCAGTTCTGAGGGCAGGGTCTGATCGATGGCCATGCCACTTAAACAGGTTGAAAATGCCTCTAATGGAAAGGCTTAAAGGCCCTTCCCATAAGCCCAAGTTCTCTTCCAATTCTTTTCTTGCAAGAATGGGAATGGGAAGAGAATTAATGGGGAATTCCTATGTGGTCAATTAGCCAGATCCCCTTCCAGGCTCTTCTGGCACTGGCTCGAGTGACTGATGACTGAGGCCTGCCATATGCTGACTGGGTAAACAGCGCGGAACGACTGACCGCCACAGTCTGCCAGACAGGGCAACAGATAAGGAATGGGGGGAAATAAGAGAGTGTAATGGAGACTAACTGGAAGAAAAAGACAGATGGAAGGAAAGGACATATTGAGATAACATCCAAAGACAAACAAACACAGGCAATAAAGCCAGGAGCCACCACCACAAGCACTCCGACATGGAGTGAAGGGGTGATGGGGTCAGGACTGCCTGAAAGATAAAAGACCTCTGGTCCCCTCTTGTCCCTCTCAGCTCCATCTGAGAACCATGGAGAGCAGGGACAATCTTCCGCCATCAGAGCTCCTCAGGGTTCAAGGATGATTTTCTCACCCACAGGAAACTGAGTGAGGGGACACACCGAAAGTCTGCCTAGAAATCAGAAGGCACAGAAGACACGAAGTGAAACAGTGGCTGAGAAAAGTGGGGCAAGGCTGTACGTGGGATGGCACCTGGTGGTCGCTTAGGAGTGCTCACTGCCGTGTCTCCAGTACTCCTTTCTTTCAGCACTGACTTGCGGGAGTATAGAGTTACACATGCACCTTCCTACTTCCAAAACCAGAATCTCAGAAGTTTAGGAATGCAGGACCAGACGGGACCTCCTTGGTTTTTAAGTATGAACTCTTGCTATTGTAGGCACTGCTTCAAATAGCATTTTCCTTAAATGTATAGAGTGCCCTTTTAAAAGCAATTAGGTTTTCAGCCACCATTACTATCTGATCACTATTCCAATGATAAAGTATCTTTTTCTAATTCCCAGCCTAAATGTAGTCACTCTATGCCCATTTGCTATTGTGCCAAATTGGCCTTTTGCTTAAAAAGTACTTTTTCTTCCCTGTTATTTCTCCCACTAACATAGACATCAGTCATATCCTCTCTCAACTTTCACTTTGCTAGGCTAAACATGGCAAGCTACTCCAGCCCACTTTCTTAAGAAAAGATTCCTATCCCTTGGGTCCACCATAACAAGCCTTTTCTAGTCTGAGGTCATTTTGCTCAGGAATATGAGAACATTCAGTATTTTGGGGCCTCACAAGAGCTGAATACAATGTATTCCCCCATTATTTTCTAAAAATACTTTCCTTAGTACATTATAGGATATTCACCACCTTCCAAGCCACATTACATCTGCAGTCATCTGCAGCTGACTGCTGCAACCCATTCTTTCCAACTCGTTTCCTAATGACTAAAAACGTTTTTCACACAAGACCTCAAATGATGGTCTTAATGTTGTTTTATTGGATGTCATTAGCTGCTCTACAAAATTCGGATTTTCCTCTGTTTTTGTAATACTTGCCACCTTTGCATCATCACCAAACTTCATCAGCCCATTCCATGTTGAGGCTGAGAAACAAAAATACTAAGCATTGATCTTGAGGTAAGTCCTCGAAGACTTGCTAATTAAGCTCTGTTAAGAATCCAGGTACGTCCTTTCATGCAACTTACTGACATCTTTCCTTGAACCAGTTTCTTGTCTCATAGCTACTGCTTTTTTTCCTTATCTTTCCCAATGTAACCAAGTGTTTCCCACGTGGGAAATACATTAAATGTCTCACAGAAGTGCTTATAAATGAGACCTACCAGACCTAGTTTGCTTTGTAGGAGATCAATGATGTTCGAAATTATTGTGAGATCAATCTTTGAGGAATTCTTAACAAATTACTTCACATTTTGCCTGTTCCTCTGAGATATCCTTTCCCTCAGGTCCTGCTGGAAGTGCTGCTGAGGTCGCACTGCCTGTGCTGCCAGGTGCCAGCTCTTTCAGAGTGACAGGAAAGAAAGTGGGCACTCCCCTGTGCCCACTTGAGAGCTTTACGCAACCTGAGTTTTGCTTTCACCTAGGTGGTGATAATTTCCATTTCCAGCCCTTCTCCTCTGCTCCCATGCTAATACATTTCTAAGAGCCAAGAGGAAAGACTGCCATACACAGGCCGAATACTATCCTGATCAGACAACACTGGAACCCTGTAGCAACACCATCTCATGGCCATCCAAGGTGTAGTCTCCAGATCCTTTCATGTTCATCTCCTTTCCCAATCTCAGCATCTCCATTCCTCACTACTCCCAAATCCTCGTCCACTCAATCCACTCTAGAGCCCCAGCCTCGTTTACTCTGTTCTTCCAACCCTTTGCTGCCACCTGATTCCCATCTGAATCATTTGACCCGATCCCAAACTCTTCTCCATCATCAGACCCCTGCATCATCCCACCCACCTCAAGTCTGCTGGCCCAAACCTCCTGTACTTGCTGCACAGCTCCTCTTCCTCTACCTGTCTGAACACAACAGCTACCTCCTCTTGCCTTCCTCACTCCCACAGGATGCCAGCACCATTAACTACCACTGCCTCCTGTGATAGATCATGCCTGGCTTGCCCCAGAAAAGTCTCAGGAGGATTTAAAAATCTGCACTACAAGCACTTATTCACCTAGGCAAAAGTAGTGAGGACAGAAAAAGACATCTCCATTGTGCAGCAGACATACAGTACCCCTCCCCACTAGCAATGCCCCCTATTCCAACTTGAAGCCCCAGGTAAAGCACTCGCTTACTTTGGGGACGAAAACTACTCTGTCTTTAGAGTCAGCCTCATCCTCATTCACTATCAGTCTCCTTTCTTCCAATTTCCAACTTGCAAAGTTTAAAAACCTTATCTGCTTATTTTACTACCCTTTGCAAGGTCTGACTCAGCGTGATTTTCTACTGTTCTCACTTCATCTTTACACTTCTTGACCTCTAAGAGCTTTTCATTATTTATTTGCTATCGGTTCTTTTTTTTTCCCATTCTTAGTAGGCTTTTGGTCTATTCCTAACAGCTTCTCTGTGGTAGTTATTCATTCAGTGAGGTCTGGATACTCTTCCTACAAGCTTTTTCCTCTTGCTTGGCATGCAGAATTGTAATGGCTTTAGCATCTTTGACTTGAAAAAGTTCCAGACCTCCTCCACATCAAGTTCCTCGGCTGAGTTTACTAACCAGCTCCCTTAGTTTGTTGAAGTTTGTTCTTTGAAATCCACACGCTTAATTACACACTGGTTTATACTTCCATTTAATTTAATCTAGAATGACTTGTGTTCATTTAATCTAAGGTTATTTTCCACAGCCATCTGTTCTACAGAGTCTTCAAAACCCAAGCTTAAAGTAACATTGTCTTTTGCTGGCCCCTTTGGAAAGCCTTTGTCCAGGTCCTGCATTAACTGGAGACACAGAAATCACTTTGAGAGCTTGTCTATGGACTCTAAAGCAGCCCGGGCACTGTAGCCTTCCAAGCACAATTTAAACAACTTTCTGCACCGTAGTAAAGGCAGGACATAGCTGCTTTTAGCTCTGTCCTTAAAGCAGAACAAAGCTGTCTTCCATGTAAAACTATACTATCATCTGAAATCACAGCTCAGTGATATTCTTGCCCATATAACAAGAATAACAAGACAGGGTAGTGTTTCACCAGTGCTGTAGAGCAAGTATCTTCTGACTTGATCTTCTAATACAGATGTTACTACAGTTCAACTGGCGCCTCCAACTATTGGCCATATTCTGTCTCTGGATCCCTCAAGGCAATAGGACTGGCTGTAAAACATCTCATAACATATTCACTCCCTATTTTAGACAGGGTATTTATTTGTAGTAAACCAAGTTCATGACTCCAGACATGTAAGATGTTCAAAGCAAGTAATGCAGAGAAGAATGTCACTTTCAGGCTACTAGTCCATGGAGAAATATGTGTGTGTGTGTGTGTGTGTGTGTGTCCCATTTCTAAGGAAATGCAGACCCTCTGCCCTTCCAAGCCAAAAAAAACCCACCAAACCCAAACCAAAACTCACTGAGTTCTACAGCTTTCAGTTCCACAGTTTTCCACCTACTGCAAATTTACTGCCATTTGATTTTGCAAAGGAAACTCAGAGTATCTGCAATGCTTCAACCTGACACATTGATTCCACAACCAAAAAAATAGAGCAAATCTTCCTTGGTGGCAAAATGAAGCCAAAATTACATGCAGGAAAGACAGACATACATGGGAAAGATAATAGACTAACAATTAGAAGGAAGAAAGGGTAGAAGATTGATAAGGAAACTGAGGATATTACTTAAGAATGTGCAAAAAAGCGAGGCTAAGTACACTTAATAGGATTTTTTAACATGCATTAGAAATAAAATTAACCTCAGGAAAGCTCAGACCTAGGGAAGAATGATAAAAATTTTAAACACCCTGTGAAAAAGACACAACTGTTCAAGTAAGTATTCCTGTTCTACATTTGGAAAGAGGCAGGACTACACAGCTGTACCGCATATGAATGATGCTACACCTTTCAGGCCATTAATCACAGGCAGAGTAATTGTGTAAAAAGCAGATGTGCATACACTGGACGCAAACAAAGGGGGCAACTCACTGACATTCACAACATCAGTGAGACCAATACCAGAACCCAGCATGTCATTTTGGTATCCAGTTTCTTAAAGGATATGGGAAAACTGGGAAGGGCATGCTAAAGTAATGTGAAAATGATTTGATGACTGATGAGAATCTCTGAAAGTGAGAGAGTCTTCAGTGCTCAATCTAGTTTGTCAAGAAAGAGTGGTGAATAAATTACAGTAGATAAATACTATGCAGAGGACATTCTGATTACTAACAGGCTTTTGGATCTAGCTGTGAAAGTCAGGAAAAGAGCTTGTTGGAAGCTGATGCCAGATAAATACAAATGATAACGACGTACAGCGTTGAAACAGGGTGATTAATGATGGTAGCATACTACAAAGGAAATGATGGATTTTCCATCCCTAGGGATCTCCAGATCAAAACTCTGTTATCTTCTCAGAAAACGTCACCTAGATGCAGATTACTTATTTTGCCTAATACCGAGGTACATGAGCAAGGCATCAGTTTCACAGATAGCCAGGTAGCCTGATTCAATGTTTGCTTCTGGTCTTATATTCCAAAAACCTGAATGATGGCAGTAGAGAACTCCACATGCTAACAGAGTCTCTTTTTCATCACCAGCCTGTTCCTTTGGCAGCTCTGGAAAGCCAGTTTCTGAGATGTAAACCTTGAAAGTGGGCCATGACAGTACCTAGTTAATTTGGAAACAGCTTACATGTCTGCATTTGCATGCCATACAGTATCTCATTTGGCTTTAGCTGGCAATGGAAGCCTGCAATATAATATTGTCAATATTGCCTGTAATATTCACAGAAATGCAGAAAATGCGACCATACACCATTACTGGGTTATCACTGGACAATCCTCATCAAACCTCCAATTAATTTCAAGCTATCTCAAGCCTTCTGAATCTGCCTCTGGGAAGACGAAAGCATCAGCACTGGTCTTACCCTGCGACCAGCCTCGTTGTTCTGCAAGTTCATCAGCATGCGAGCCTGTTCCTCTGAACCTCTCACATAGTTCTTCTCCCTCTCCTTGGCATCCACAAACTCCTTGGCAAAACGATATCCATACTCCACGTTATCCCCGCAGCCACCCCACAGCCAGTCTCGGGGTAAGTCCTTGGGCCGGGCCGTCCGGCTGCAGCCACAGCTGGAGAGCTCTCCTTCACGGCAAGCCCGGCTGATGGCGTTCACCACCCCGGCAGCGCTGACGGCATAGGTGAAAGCAGTCTCACGGCTACCTGCAAGAGAGACGAGAAGCAAATTAACAAGAGACAAATCTCATTTAACAAACACAATGCACAGCAAGGAGCAAGAAAACGAGTTCCGGACAGTAGGACATGGTGTACCCTAGGAAGGTGCACAGAACTAACTGCAACAAAGGAATGGAGTGGTCAAGTGCAAGGGCACCACCCCATTCTGGCAAAGGGGAAGCTGTCCCAAGACATCCTTGCATCCCATTTTTGTTGTCATTTCGTAATAACACCTGCAGTCAATTGACTGCCCAGAACTCACAGGATCAAACCCAAAACTGATTCTCTGGCTCACACCAGGGAAGGGTCTGAGATTCCTGCTGC